CTACTATAAAAATTGAGAGAGAGAGGCCATAGATATTGGTTTTGGCGGTATTATCATGTGCAACAACTGAACTATATCGAATATATAGCTCTACTTGCAGTGGTTCCATCCATAATAGATGCGAAAGAGATTGAGACACTGGATCTAATTGATACTCCACAATCTATTCCAGATTATCAGCCTTTTTTTCTAACAAGAAATTAAGAACTTTGAATGCATCATTTTTTACAGGCACTTTTTTATGTCGAATTATATGAATCACATTATACAGATCTTGCTTGATGACACGACACTGATATTTGCTTACAAGCATCCGGTATTGTTTTGTTGCATTAAGATTACATTCAAGTGTCCAAAAGCAAATGTCTTCTAACATTTCTTCACTTAATTTTCGAAATTGAGGTAAAAATTGTATACTTTGTTGATCTAAATTGTAACCTCTATGTTCATCTATGAACGTTGTTACTTCATAAATCTCCACCTTTTTTGACAATATTAATATGCCATGTACAACCAACTTTGCATAAAGTTTTGTTTCGTTGTTTATCAAACCCTGCTGATTTATTTGGTTTGTATGTACCTGTATGTTTGCATAAAAAGGTTCTTTTTTTGGCATCCTCTAATCCTTCACTTTTTTTTAAGCGCCCTTTTCTATATCCAAATCCTTTTTGCTTGCAATAATAATTGAGAAATATTGTAACTTCCTCCCAGGATACAAATCATTTACCAACATAAAGATTATCCATCGTGTCTTCTTCAGTTTCTAACCAGTCTTCATTACTTACTGACTTATTGTTATTATTATTCTCAACTAATTCACTCCTATTAAAATGATCCTTTGCTAATTCATTCAAATAATTGGTTTCCATTAAGTCATCTTCATTATCTTTATCAAAGTAGTCTTTAACTAATTGGTTTGCAAAATTATTTCCATCTAAACAATCATTCACGTTATTAGTTTCGATATTATCAGTCATTCTATTATGCTGTCAGTTATATTTAAGCTATCAAAGTTTGAATAAAATAAATTTTATTGTAATAAAAGCTTTATTTATTTAGGAGCGAACATAAAACAAAGGTCAGAAGCAATTACAAGTGTTATAGAGAAACTTTAAAAATAAAAAAGCTAATGAAAATGATTTTATTTACAATATAAAGTAAGAAAGCAAAAATCGCATCATTACATATTACATGCATGTATAAATAGTAT